GCCCCATCTGGGTCTGGGCAGGGGAGCGGCGGGAAGGTTCATCAGCTTGGCTTCCGGGACACGGGGAGCGGCGACGGGCGGGTGGATGCTAGCGGCGCTGGTGCCGCCCTACTGCGGCGTGGCGGGCGGGGCTTTGCTGGCCGATTTTAGCCTGGCTGGGCAAGGGGTGCCCTGGTATGCCCTGCTGCCATGTCCAGACGGTGCCGGAGGCACGAGCCCCTCGCATGACGGCGATGGAGGTAGTTCCCTCCCGCGTGGCTCCGGCGTTGCTGCTCCCGTCGCTTGGTGCGCCTCTCTCCGGCCTCTTGGCCTCGTGGCGGTGATCTCGGTGAGGCAGCGTGGTGGCGTCAAGACCGCGGTGGCGCAAGCTGGTGGGCGGCGAGGTGGCTGGTTGGCTCCGGCCTTGTTGGGCACTAGGGTTCGGAGTGCAGAAGAAATCCTTGCCGGCTCTTCCGGCTCCGATGCAGTGACACCTGCGGGTGCCGCCATTCCTTCCTGGATGGTGTCGGAGGTATCAATCCCCCACTCCCTTCCGCGTGCCAGTGGAAAACCTAGGAAACGTCCTGGCAGCAGTGTTGTCGGCGTCGCATTCCTTCTTGGAGGTGCTTCTTGGTTCGCGGCGGATCAGAGCCCTGGTCTGTGGTGGGTCGATTCCGAAGATCGCAGCAGTGGCGGGTCATCCGTGCTTTATCGAGCTGCCATTGTTGGCATTTGTTTCTACTTCTTTGTTCTTTTTCTTTTCTTTTGGGCTTGTTGTGCTACTCGCCCAGCGATTGCTATGCGATCGGTGTTGGTTGCTTTGTAATACAAAGCGGGGAACCCTTTTTCGGTAGCATTACAATCCATAGGAGTTCTTCTTAGGGTACTTTTCATAGAGAAAAAAAAAGCATTCACTTCATGTGAAAAATCGTACATTTTTCTAGCACACAATCAAGCACTCATACTGTTCCTGTAGTATTATAGATGGCATTCCACTTTATCGCAAAAAGGAAAAGGAGAAAAGAATAAGATGACATTCCACTTCATTCTTTGTGTTTTTACTATTCATGCGTTTTATAAATCCTGTGAATCAGAGAGGCCCAAATCTTTCCCTCCCGAACCATTAGTTTTTTCTCCTCCCATCACCCACCCCAGACTAGCCACTGTTATCGGAGACGAGCTTGCACACACGGCTGCTACAAGAGAAGGGCGCTGGCGCACAGAGTCGGAGTGTCGGTGTTACACGGACCGGCCGCCCACTCGTGTGTGTTGTAGTAGGTCACCCGGTGTTGGGAGTGAGCTGCCAACGAACAAGGACAGCTGCAGCATGCTAGCCGCAAATGCTGCGAGTGGAGAAGGGTGGTGTTGTGACATGGTGACGACGATGTTATGACGCGGCGACCGCGAGGTTGTGAGGCAGCGGCGACGATACTTGTGATCGAAGCTGCCAATACAGTCGACTGGTTGCGCTACGAGTGGCGACCTGAACGTGCTACAAGGTGCAACTGTTGTTGCTGTGAGCGACACGGCTGTGCTACGAGGGGCGACTGGTGGAGCTTCAACCGGTGATTGTGAGCGCCGTTGCGGCAACTGTCCACCGCAGAGTTGCAAGCGGCCACGACCGTGATGCGACTGTACACGATGGGAGCTGCAAGTAGTGACGGCCGAGCTATGACCGTTGATGGTAGGGCTACAAGGCTGTGTGACAGTGCTGCGAGTGGTGCGTCCAGGCTACACGACAGCGATGGCAGTGGTGCTGCGAGCCATCGTGGTGCTGCTTTATGCGGGGGAGCGCGCTGCTGCAATGGGTGCGTTCAGTGATAGTGACCATGGTGACCGCAAGACACGGATGAGTAACCCCGATGCCTAGATTTTTGCTCGAATTGTGGGTGCAGGAGCGTGCGGGAAAAATGGTGTAGTATGGGGGAAGCACCGGCAGAAGGTGATTTTTTGGGGCACCCAAATCTGACAACCACATCTGACGGCTAGTTGGGTGATCGATCGGGGCTTCCGATCAGTCGACCGAACCTGACATCCTCCTTTTTAGTTAATGTTAAAATATATCTAAGTTCCACATGTCTAAGATGCACAATAATAGTTACATGTATATATGCCTTCAATTTGTTGCAGGCTAGTGGAAAAGACGATAAGGGTGCAATCTTGTTCACTATGCACGATGTGGTGCACGACCTTGCGACAGTGCTCCTAAAAAGGTACAGTATTAGTCGAAGGGCAACGCGCTGTGTTGATTGTAGCAGAGTGGAGTTTAACAGTGACTCATTTTCACGTAAAAAATGCATACGTGTTCTGGAACTAAAGGACAGCTCCGTGCAGAAGCTACCGGACTCCATCTGTCAACTGAGGCACCTGGGGTATCTTATGATATCAGAATTCACTGGGTTGACAACTCTGCCAGAGTCCCTTGGGCATCTGAAAAGTCTGTTCCATATTGATTTATCAGGCTGCTCCAGGCTTGCAGCTCTTCCGGAATCATTTGGAGATCTCATAAACTTGACCCATGTCAATCTATCTCGATGCCATGGACTGGCAGAGCTTTCAGAACCACTCCAGAAGCTCCGCAAACTGGTATACCTGGATTTATCGTTCTGTTCTTGTTTTGAAGGGATAGGGGAAGGCCTTCGCCGCCTCACCAATCTGGAGCATTTGAACTTGTCGAATCCTTGCTGTTATGTTGCTCAACACCATTCTCATCTCCAGGGGCTAAAAGATGGTTTGTGCAAGCTCACCAAACTCCGGTATCTGAACTTGTCAATGTGCCTGAACCCTATCTTTTACTGCCACAAGTCGCAAGAGGACAGTCTCAAATACCTTCAAGAGTGTGTCAGCGGTCTTTCTAGGCTAGAGCATTTGGACCTGTCTCATAACACATTTCTTTTTGATCTGCCTGAAAGTCTAGGTAACATCAGCAGGCTACACACACTGGATCTCTTAGGCTGCATCAGAATCAAGAAGGTAGGTGAAACGAAGTGTCTCAAGATTATAATAGATCTGAGCAAATGCCGGGGTCTGGAAAGTTGCCAACTTGTAGTCCGTGTTGATGAAGTGGCATGCAGCAACACAAGCAGCCTTGCCCAACTCGAGGTTGTGGACTGTAAAGAGCTGGAGATAAGCTGCCTTGAGAGGCTGAAGTCTCTGGACGAAGCACGGAGGATAAGATTAGTGGAGAAACAAAAGGTAGAAAGGTTGAAGCTCTGCTGGACAGTTGGTGCCGCTCAAGGATCAATGCAGGTGGAGGAAAATGCTCTGTTAGGAGAACTAGTGCCACCACATTCTCTACAGTGCCTCCAGATATGTGGCTATGGTGGCGAAACCTGCCTCCCTGCCTGGCGGATACCAAGCATATCATATCATCTCCGTAATCTTACAGAGGTTACCATGGAGGACTTCTCGAGGTGCATTGTACTGCCGCCGCTGGGTCTGTTTCCAAACCTCCAGCGCCTTGTTCTCAGAAGGATGGCCAGAATCACAAGGATCGATGCCGGTGAACTGAGTGGAGGCAACAAAGAGGCATTCACTCGACTCTCCAAATTCACCATAGATGATATGGAGAACCTGAAAGAGTTTGAGTTTGCCGCTGTTGATGAGCTGGCGATTCAGAAATGCCCCTTGTTGAGCTGTGGATCTCTACCACCCAGAGCTCAGAGGTTGCTGATATCAGACTGTGAGCAACTAATGTCTTCATCGGTAGGAGGAATAGATGGTGTGGAGGGTCCTTCTGCTCCAGTAACTGAACTGGTGGTCCAAACCTGCAACTTGGCTTTAGGTAATGAGTTTCATTATGTACCTTCTTTTCTGTAAATATATTTTGATCCTTAAGAAGATAATTATCTCCTTTACTTCTATCTTTTGTAATGCTCCAGCATCAGCAATTCCTAATAGTGCTACTTTGCTTGCTCAATGTGCAACTAGGTGACTGGAGTTTGCTTCACCACCTCCCTGGTCTCTGCAGCTTGACTATCAACAACTGCTACAATCTAACCAGCTCACCGGAGATTATCAGCGCCCTGTCCTCTCTCCAGTCACTATGTTTCTATCAGTGCCATGAGCCTATGGAATCACTACCAGTGTTCTTGTGTGACCTCACCTCCCTCCAGCAACTTGCGATCGATGAGTGCCATGGCGTTCAATCTTTGCCGGAGGACATGTTAGCCAAGCTAACTAGCCTCGAAGCTCTGTATATTTGGGACTGTCCTGAATTGAAGGAGTGGTGTGAATCAGAGGAGAACAAACAGAAGCTCGCTCACATCCTAATAAAATTTGAGTATGTCCCCTGCCTATCTTGGCTACTTAAATTGTCTATATAACACTAGTTTGTTCTTTCTTTCTATATGCACCGTTCTGCTGGTAGCTTTTTGGTTGTGCCTACTGGTGTTTGCTGCTCAGAATTCCTTCTGTACAAGTAGAAGCACAGCTGCCATCGTTCACCTCAACTGGAGTTTTAGCTAATCAAAGTTTCCGTCATGTTAATTCTGCAGAAAATTTGGTACGAGCAAGACTGGCGTGCATCCCCCAGAAATGTAAACGAGTGTCCCTGTTATGGATTCCTGAGGATTTACCGCTGGAACAGCACCTTAATGCAAGGCCGGCGGCACTTCCTTAGTGGATCGATGACGAACTGATCACTGTGTTCTAGTAGTATGATGGAAAATTTGTACTGGAAGGTCAAGTTTCTCATCAGTGTAATTTAGTTTATGTTCATCTGCGGACACTTCTGTCCGCAAAAGCATGATTTCAGACACCTTTAATTAATTTATTTTGTTTCCATTAAGTACATTTCGATCCATGAGATCGGACATCGGTGTTGTACTTTTACGCTACATATCTGTTGCCTCATGCAATTCAGACAAAGACGATTAAATTTGATGTGATCCAGTTAAGAAACATTTTTCTGAAAAGATTTCATTCAGCTTCAAGTTGCCTTTTCTGAAAACATCGATGTGTACCTTTTGCACTTGTGTGCTGTGTAATGCTCTCACAGATCCCAAATTTTTCTAGATATTTATTTCTAGTTCCATTTAAGTTCGAACAAGTAGTCATGAAAGAAATGCAGTAACATTCTTGGCCACTACTAGTACAGAACGGGCCATATTAGTCGGACTATCTTAGCTGGTTTTCGGTAGGTGCTAGTGAAAAACATCGCATTCATTAGTATCAGGTCATTACTCATCAGATCAGTCTAAGATGTAGCGAATTCACATACCTTACACATCTTATCAAACATGTGTGGCGACGAGCTTGACTAGTCACTCACCTTGGACTTTCAGAGCACGAACGAGGTTGGACTAGACTAATGCTGGCTTGAGCTCATCCAACGAGCCGACCAGGGAGTCCACCGCTGCTAAATCGCCGCCGCCGCCGCAACGGCCGAACTCACCGCGCATCCCCTGCAACGAATCCGCGATCTGATCCATGATGTCGTTGATCTTGCGCACCTTGGGAGCCAACATCGGAAGGGCTCTAATCCCAATTGCCACGATCTACTCTCGGTTGTATCAAGATTCAAGGGAGAAGAGAGATTCAGAAACGGGTTCACAGCAGAGAATTTCCGGTTCTTCTATGCCTTCACACGCGGGATCTATTTCTCGCCCGTAGCGAAATGCAACTAAGCTCGTCGGGAGGCGCGCTACTGGGCCGATACAGTACTGTTGCTGCCCCGCGAGTTATCTTTTTCCTGTGTTTTTCTTTATAGGTTTTTCACTGTCTTGCATCCGTTTTATTTTGGTTTTCTTCCTTTTTTCACGGTTCTATTATTTTTAAATTTTCCTGGTGTTAATCGGTTTTATTCAATTTTCTCTTGTATTTCTTTACTATATTCCTTTTTTAACACGTATCTAATTTGTTAATACATATTCTACATTTTTCTTACACATCAAGAACATTTTATTTTATAAACATTTGAAAATTTTCAAATACATGATTAATTTTTCAAATATATGTTTTTATGTCTAATTTTTCCTATCCTTTTGCATTTTTTGTATACATCAAACACATTTTTACACACATTTAACATATTTCAAATACATGATTAACATTTTTAATGAATGTTTTTGAATATTTATTTGAATAAGTGTTCAATGTTTCTTTGTGGGGTTTTCACTGTCTTGCATCGGTTTTCCTTTTGGTTTTCCTCACTTTCCATTGTTTTCTTACATTTTTCTATTTTTTTTGGTATTCAGAGAGTTTTCTCAATTTTAGTTTTTTTTCTTTAGGTTTTTCTTTACTATATTCATTGCTTAACACGTGTCTAATTTTTTCAAACATATTGTACATTTTTCTTACACAGCATGAACATTTTATTTATATACATTTGAAAATTTTCCAATACATGATTTTTTTTTTTCAAATATATGTTTTTATGTCTATTTTTTCAATCCTTTTGCATTTTTCATATACATCAAAAACATTTTTTATACATGTTTAACATATTTCAAATACATGATTAACATTTTTAATGCATGTTTCTGAATGTTTCTTTGAATATGTGTTCAATGTTTCTTTGTGGGTTTTTCACTGTCTTGCATCAGTTTTCTTTTGGTTTTCTTCCTTTTCCCTGGTTTTCTTATATTTTTTATTTTTTTTGGCATTCATCGGTGTTACTCAATATCCTCTTAATTTCTTTATTTTTTTTCTTTACTATATTCCTATTTTAACAAGGGTCTAATTTTTTTCATACATATTTTACATTTTCTTATACATCAGCAATGTTGTATTTATATACATTTGAAAATGTTCAAATTCATGATTAACTTTTTACAAATATATGTTTTTATGTCTATTTTTTTCCCTATCCATTGTGCAGTTTTCGTATACATCAAAAACATTTTTTATACACATTTAACATATTTCAAATACATGATTTACATTTTTAATACATACTTTTTGAATATTTATTCAAATATGTGTTCAGTTTTTCTTAAATGCACGTAGAAATATATTTTTGAGTGATACGAAACAAGTTCTGAATCTTTGCGGCTTTTTTTAAATTGTTTGAATATTTCTTAAATATTTCACAAACATATTTTTAAACGAGTGAACAATTTTTGAAATGTAACTTACATTATGATACTAATCATTTTACTTAATCGATGTCGTCCATTTTGTATCAGGCGGCCCATGTCCAGCGCGTGTTAACTTACTCGTTCCCACCCGCACG